CCCTCCTTGTTCTCCTCATCCTGCCCCACCCTATTTCTCCCCGCTCCCTCTCCCATTCTCCCCTTCTCCCTTCTTCCTATTTTACTTGCTTCTCCACACTATTTCCCCCCCATCCTTCTACTCCTCTTCCCTTCCTCTCCCCCTCTTTCTCCCTCCTCCCTTCCACTTCCTGTCTTTTCTTTCCTTTTTCTCCTCACATATATTCTTCCTCTCCGCATGCCTTCCCCTCCTCCTTCCTCCCCTTTATTACTCCCTCTCTCTTTCCCTCTTCTTCCCTACTTCCCTGCTATCTCCTTTCACACGCCCCCCCCCCCCTTCCTCCCTCTTTCTGTCTTCATTTCTCCTTTTTTCTCTGTTTCCCTTCCTCCACCCACACCCTTTCCCACTTTCTTATCATGCTTTCCTCCCTCCCCTCTCCCCCTTTCTTTTCCCACTTCTTCCCCTCCCTTCCTCCTCGCCCTTTCTCCTAACCATGCCCTACCTTCTTATCTCCCTTCTTCCTCCTTCGCCATTCGTTTTCCCCCTTCCTTCGTCCTCTCTCCCTTCCTCCTCACCCCCGCTTTCACCCTTTCTCCCTCACCCTCCTTATCTCCCTTCTTCCTCCTTTCGCCATTCGTTCTCTCCCTTCCTTCCTCTCTCCTTCTACCCCTCCCTTCCTCTTCGCTCCCCCCCTCTCCCCCTTTCTCCCCACCCTGCCCCTCCCTCTTATCTCCTTTCTTCTTTCCTCCTCCGCTATTCGTTCTCTCCCTTCCTCTTCCTTCCCTCCCTTCCTCCTCGCTCCCCCCCCCCTCCCCCTTTCTCCCCACCCTGCCCTCCCTCGTTTCGTCTGATTGCGAGTATTACACTTGTGAATGGAGCTTCTCAGACTTCTCCTATGTATTTATCTTGTTCCTTGAGGTTTTCTTGGGTTTTCTTTCTTACTCTTCGGGGGTTGCTTCTAAGTCAGGTTTGTTGTTTTTTTTTTTTTTTTTTTTGTTTTGGTTGGATTTGCTGCTTGCTTGTATTTTTTTTTTTTTTTTTTTTTTTTTTTTTTTTTGGTGGTATGGTTTTTGGTGTTTTTTTTCGGTTTGTCTGTATCTGTCTGGTTTTGCCACTCTTTCTCTTCTCTCTGTCTCTGTCTGTCTGTCTGCTTCTGTCTCTCTCTCTATGTTTCTCTCTCTCTCTCTCTCTCTCCTCTCCTCTCTCCCTCTCTCTTCTCCCTTCCCTCTCTCTCTTCCTCCTCTTCTGTTTACCCATCTCTTTCACCCTCTCTAATTTATACTTTATGCTACACATTTTTTGCTCTTTATCATCTCGTTTTACCTCCACCATCTTCCACTTCCTCTCTATCCTCTATCCCTTTCTCCACCTCTCTCTCTATTTCTCGTTCCATCTTCCATCTCTCATCTCTTCATCTCCTTCTCTCCTTTTTCTCTCTCCTTCTGAGTCCCATTCTTCCATTTCTCTCTATCACCTTCTTCTTCTCTCCTCTCTTTCCTTCTGCGTCCCATTCTTCCATTTCTCTGTCTCACTTTCTTCATCTCCTTCTCTCCTTCTGCGCCCCATACTTCCATCTCTCTATCAACTTCTTCTCTCCTCTCTCTCCTCCTTCTGTGTCCTATTTTTCCATCTCTCGTACTTCACTTCTCTCCTCTCTCTCCTTCCTTCTGCGTCCCATTTCTTCCATCTCTCTTCACCCATATGACGTCATAACGATGATTGCCTATGTTGCCAGTTCGTAATAAGTGACGCTTATATCCGGTGCTGGACAAATGAAAGGAATTATAATACAATTAATTAATTGCGCATTCTTTCCGTTTCCTTCATTCGTTTCGAGTGGTGTGTTGTTGTTTTTGTTTTGTGATTTTAGGAGTTTTAATGTGGGTCTGTTTTCATTTATTTATTTTATTTTGTTGTGTGAGGGTTTTATATTTATTTTTTTCTATTTTTCAAGCTCTTCCCACCTTTTTTTCTCGCTATTTTCTCTCTTCCTCCCTCCCTCCCTTTCTAACCATTCTTGTAACTTTATATTTTCATTTCTCTTCTCCTCTTCTTTCTTCCTCCCCCCCCTTCCCTCATTCCTCATCTCCACATCCACTTTTCTGCCTCCTCCCCCTCCTCCCTCCATCCTCCTCCTACACTCTTTCTCCTCTCCTTGCCCTCTACCTCCACCTTCCACCTCCTCCCCCTTCTCCTCCCCTCCTCCTCCATACACTCCTCCGTCCTTTCCACCTCTACCTCCACCTCTCCACCTCCACCTCCTTCCCCTCCTCCTCCTTCCTTCCTCCTCTTCCGTCGCCCATCCTTAAAACACTCTGCTGTCTACCATATGTTTGCACTTCATCATGTCTGCCTCGTCTACCCTGCCCTTATTTCTACTTTTCTCGCTTCTCTCTTGTCCTTCCTCCGTTATTTTATTCGTTTTTGTCGTTGTTTTTGTCGTGTCTTGGTCTTTGCCCTTCGTCGTCTTCGTTGCTATTTTTTCTTCGTTGTCGTCATTATTATTTTTCTTATTCTTCAACATCGTCTCGTCGTCATCATCAAGTCATTTCATCTATCATCTTAGTCTTTAATCATTCGTCATCATCGTCGTCAATCATCATCTCATCGCATGTTATCATCATCATTCATCCACCCACCACAACCGCAATCCCACCATCACTAT